ATGGGTATCAAAAGTTTGATAACGTGTTGAGGTCCTCCTACTACCTAACAGATATGCCATACTTTACAGAGCTGCACTATGTCTTTACGAAGTCTTGGCCGTGTAAGATACCTGTTAATTAATAATTCTGTTTTTCATAGTCCCACAGTCACCATGTAATTTTTTGATCTACATATCTACATATGACATCTAGATGGTACTACTACTTGATGAACAAAACGTCCATTCTTCATTTGAATGTCTCCACTTTGTCATCAGAAGATTTTGAATATAACATGCTGAAACTCCTCCAACTTGATTCATAAACCTCTGGAATGTAGCTGGTGTGTTCTTTTACCACAAGTGACATCACTGGACATTGGTAAAATGCCAGCCTCAGCTTCAGTGTGAACTGTCTGTGCCAATTTAATTAGCTCTGGATCTGCTTCCCGAGTTTCAATTAACGAATACATGCCAAACACGAATTATCCTCATTCTCAAACAGAATTCAACTACCCTAACATCTGGCTTCTGGTGATCCATGTGGTTTAGCCATTATTCACCACACATCATGGAAAAATAACCAAAACCTATTCCACCACCTTGACCTCAACTGCAATTTCTGTGACTGTAGATGAAGCCGTAACTTTGACTTGCAAAATCATTCTCCAGGAGTATATCAACTCTGTCCATAGATAATTCATTAACTACCTCAATGACTACTAGTCCTGACAACAAATGACAGTCCAACCGGACTTTATACAATGAAACAAGATTACTCTCCATTGATCCAATTCACTCCGACTTTCAACTTTACTGCTTCTCCAGCAAACGAGTTTGAGTGGCCCCTGTATTCCTTGGTATTGTTATGGGCTTAGAGGCTTCCATTAAAGCAAAGGGGTTATTTTCCTTTAGATTAATCACCCTTTATATTTCTTATGTACTTCTCGTGTATCCTATGTATTACTTCTGCACCCACATCAGTATTTACAAGTCAGACACTGGAGGTAAACAAAGCTACCATTTGATCCAAAGCCTTTTTCTTTTGAATTTCCTTTTCAAACTCATTCTCATGAATCCCAAAAAGTCTCATGGGATTCCCTAGTAACTTCAGCATTCTGAATGAATGTGACCTACCATTACAATGAAAACACGTCAGAATCCTATTTTAACTTTTCCTTCTAATCTGAGAAGGACAATTCCAGCAATCCATTCTTTATCCTGTCTACTTATTTTCCTTTCACTCACCCAATTTTCTATCCCTTTTGAATTAATGAGAATGATAGAAATAAAGTTTAGGTTTATGGATTAGCTCATAAGCATCAGCCTTTATTGCTGCCTGTATAGCAGTTGCACTCCTTTAGTCCTTGAGGTCCTCAACATGGGTTCTTTTCAAGGAAGATATAGTGAGTTTGTTTAAATTCTTCTAAGAGCTTCATACATGGTCTCAGCTTCTAATGCTCATGTTCACCTGTCAAATTACTTTGCTTTCCCTTTCAATTCAATCCATGTTTACACTGGCTGTTTCCTTAAATTCCAGAAACTTTGCCTTTATTGCCTCAGGCAGTAACTCATATACAGAATTTTTTTTTCAGTGTCTTAACCCTGAGAAATCTCCTCTGACAGTAAATCAAATTTCCTGTGCTTTACCTGTCAGCTTAAACTACATGACTGTGTCCAGTATTCTTTTGTCCAATCTATTTGTCTATTTTTTTCAGAAGTTATAAAGAATGCCTCCACACCCTTTTCCTCAAATTTTGGTAGGCAACGTGCAAAATTAAACACTTTCTTACTAGACTTAAAATTATGATTCAGATTCTCCCCACCTGATCCTGTGTCAGCATCTGACATCTCCTATTTCAACTGCATCCGTTTAGCATGATATTCATGTTCCTTCGCTTTCTCTTCTTGCAATTCTAATTATAATTTTCTCATTTCCTATCTTTATTTCTATTTCTTCTTCTTAACTGTGTTTCCCTTTCCTCATCCTTCTCTGCTCCTTGTCTTTTTTCTGCCACATCTAGTTTCTTCATTCTCTTCTCATGCTCAAGCTGCTTTAACTGTAACTGAATATCACCTGATTCCAACATTTCACTTCCTGGGGCACCTGGACGCTCTAGTATTTCCTCCAAACTCAATTATCTCTGCCTTCTTAGCTCTGTCAGGAAATGCTACCTCCAAGTCAAACAACCTGATATTTGAAAGTTTCCTTAAGACTGCCAGGGTTAAAGCTGCACTTGCAGGAAATCTTTGCTGTTTCCAATGCCATGACTTATGTGCACTTCAGAACCTGTTCTATTTACAAATACCACCCACAAATCCTTGCTGCCTCTGTTTCAAATTAATCCAAGATGAACCACAAACTTTGTTACATCTCACTGGGGTATTGCACTGGAAATCAGACCCCACTTGACCCAAAGTTATCATAAATGTTAAAGATTTTATAAAATTATGCAAAACTATTCAATTTACTTGTCTTTTAGACCCAGATTGCTAGCAAGCATAGACTGTGTTTTAGGACTTAACAAGAATGACTGTTCATTAAAAACAAATAGATGCTGGCTATAGGCAGACAATAATAAACTATTGATACAAGACTCTACCAGTTAAAACCCTAACTCTCTTATGTTAGAATTTTATGCATATCAATCAGATCCCCTCTTATCCTTCTAAACTCTAATGAATACAGGCTCAGTCAAATCTATTTCTCCTAAACTCCCCCTACATACACACAAAGTTTACTGGCAATCATTCGGGTCATGCTGACCATCCTTCAGCTGGGAATACATGATCTGTTTTGGGAGGCGTGAGTTGGGCATCTAGGTGACATGGCAGGTCCATCGGCATTGCTGTTGAATTATGGTGGTGGTGATGCTGGCTTTGTTGGCCTCCTCCAAGACGCTGGTGTTAGTGCGCTTGTCTTTCCCAGGCGATCCACAGGATTTTTCGTAGGGATATCTGGTGATGTTGTTCCAGTGCTTTAAGGTGTCTGCTGTAGGTAGTCCATGTTTCAGCTCCATGAAGCAGTGTGGGAAGGACAACAGTTTTGAGGTCCAGAAGTTTAGTCTGGGCCTGTAGTCTTCAAACACCCTTCTGTGTCGGATGTTATGAGTGGAGGGAAGGACTGGGATGGCAATTCAATAGTCCACATCCACAGGATTCATTGAAACTATTCCTTTGGCTTTTCAAGACCTCATTGTCTCCATGTCTGTTTAAATCTTTCTCGTCTCACCTTAAAAATATGCCCCCTCATCTTGAAATTACGGACTCTAGGATAAAGACACCTGCATTCATCTTACCTAAATGGCTCATGATTTTATAAACAACGATAAGATCAACATTCAAACCCCGGGAATTCCAGTGAAAAATAGTCCCAGCCTATCCAGCCTCTCCTTACAACTCAAGCCCTCCATTGCCAGCAACATTCTGGTAAATCTCTTCTGAACTCTCTCCAGCTTAATAATATCCTTCCTAAAACAGGGCGACCTGAACTGGACACAGTACTCCAGAAGAGGCCTTACCAACATAATGTACAACCTCAACATAATGACCCAACTCCTATATTCAAAAGTCTGAGCAACAAAGGCAAGTGTACTAAGCACCTTCTTAACCACCCTATTTGCAAACTTCAAAGAATTATGTACCCAAACCCTGAAGTCTCTCTGTTCTACAACACTAACCTAGGGCCTTCTTTTAATTGTACAAGTCCTGCCCTTGTTTGTTTTACCAAAATGTAATACCTCACATTTATTCAAATTAAACTCCATCCGCCCATCTTCAGCTCATTGACCCAATTGATCAAGATCTCTTTGTAATCTTAAATAACTTTCTTCACTGTCCATTATATCACCAATCTCAGTACCATCTGCAAAATTACTAACCATGCCTTTTATATTCTCATCTAAATCATTTGGCCCTTCAACCCTGCACTGCAATTCAGTAGGATCATCTATTTCAATGCCATATTTCCACATTTGGCCCATACCCCTTAATGCTTTTAACACATAAAGCAAATCCTTGCCATTTTTAAACAAGCTCCACACGCACGATTTTCAATGTTCGCAGGAGTTCTCAGGAACAGAACCCTTGCAGATACTGACGAATGACTGTATCTCTCTCTTTCTTGAATATATTCAGTGATTGGACCTTCGCAGCCTTCTATAATAGGGAATTCTATGCTGGAGTTTAATACCAGTTGCATGAAGAAATCCATCCCTTTCTCAGTCCTCTGGTTCTAGAAACCCAACCAGGGAAAATGTCCTCATTATATCTTATCTACATGTTTCAAAGAGATCATCTCTCAGTCTTCTAAATTCCAACAAGTAGAAGGGTCACTGGGCCCAAAACATGAACTCTGCTTTTTCTCCACAGATGCTGCCAGACCTCCTGAGTTTCTCTAGTAATTTCTGTTTCAGTTCCACCCAGCCCTGTTAGAATTTTATATGTATCAATCAGATCACCTATTATCCTTCTCAACTCCAATGAATACAGGCTCAGTCAATCTATCTCTCTTCTGATAGTCCTGCTATCCCCAGTACTGGCTTAGTGAGCCTCTGCCACACTCACTCTATGGCAAGTATACCCTCTCCTCACACCCAGGCCACACCATTCCTGAGACCCTACCCTCACACCCTGCCCTTTCTTCCCAGACTATGATCCCCAAGGCCCTATCTTCATACCATATGCCTTTTACCCAGACTATGCCATCCTAAGACCCTACCCTCACACCCTGCCCCTTCTACCCAGAAGAAGGGTCTTGGGAATCATGGTCTGGGTAGAAGGGACAGGGTGTGGCAGTAGGGTATTAGGGTGGCGTAGTATGAGTAAAAGGAACATGGTTCGAAGGTAGCGTCGGGACGGGGGGGAGGTGAATCAATCTTCGCACCACATTCCTTTTACTCAGGTTAATGTGCTCCTTCCACGCATAACCTCCCTCTGAGAACCCACCCTCCAGGCGAGCCGCCCTCTCACTGAGCCCTCCCCCTATCCCAGTCCCGCCTCACTCAAAGCGAATTCAGGCCATGGCGATGGTAGTACTCCTTTCGTTACCGTCTCTGCTTTTCCTTTCGTCGTCCGGCGACGCGTATAAGTACCCCATGGACGCAGAGTTTGTGAGGAAATGCGTGGACGAGCACAACCGGTACCGTTCCGGGGTGACACCGGGAGCCGGTAACATGTACTTCATGGTAAACTTTACATAGGAAAAAATTCCATTTAAATCTTGCATTTGATAAGATTACTTGAGGGAAATAGTGAAACGGAGAGGTTAGATAAGGCGAAGTGTTTATCTCTAGGAGCTTCGCGTCGGGGATTAGCAACGGGTAAAAAGGCGGGAACGGGCTTCCAATGTTGGCATTTGGGAGGAGACTGCGCATGCGCGTTTTAACCGGCGGTCCCATACCAGGCTGAAGCTATCAGATAGTTTCAAGGTCACCCTCCACCAGAGGAAGCGTGGGCTTTCTGGCGGTTTCAAGGTTACCCTTGCCTTACCCCTGCGGGTAGAAGGTCAAGCAGTTTCCAGTCCGTCCCCGACCGGGAACAGGCTTGAGCCCATCCAGCGGTTTCAAGGCTGCTCTCAGGTCGGAGCTATCCGTGTAGGAACACTGGCTTCCTGTTCATGGTGCTGTGATCTTGACGGGCGAATACTTCCTAAAATCAAAATAAGTTTTGAAATTAAAATGGTTTGAGACCTTTTAAAACACGCAGTAAACCCCAGAACCATGGTGGGGAAGTTAGTTGTTTTTTGAGTTGGACTCGTTGACATGGCACTTACTTTAAACCTTTCAGTGCCTGATCTTTCCGGTTCAAATTTAGCCATATTGAGGTTCGCGGTGGATTCATTCATTCATCATCCGCTGACCCACGCGTTACCAAGGTTTATGAGGTGTTCAGATAGTTCAGGCGGTTTGTGATGCAAAAAAATACTATTTTCCAGTCAACCTGTTCAGAGATGCTATCACACACCTCTGGAGTAGGTGAGACTTGAACTCGCGGGTCCTGGCTCAAAAGTAGAGATATTACAAATGCACCACAAGAGTCCTTTGGTTTGTGATGCAGAATGATGCCAACAAGACTAGGTTCAAATCCTGCACTGGATGAGGTTGCAGTGAAGGACTCACCTTCTCAACCTCTCCGATTACCTGAGAAGAGGACGTGCATTTGAGTGCATCACAGCTTGGTATGGCAACTGCTCTGCCCAGGACCGTAAGAAACTACAGAAGGATGCGAACACAACCCAGACCAGCATGCAAGCCAAACTCCCAGCCATGAACTCCACCCACACTTTTTGTTGCTGCGGACAGGCAGCCGACATCATTGAAGACCCCACCCACCCCACTATACACTCTTCCAACCTCTTCCGTTGGGCAGAAGACACAGAAGCATAAATACAGGTACGAACAGCTTCAAAAACAGATTCTTACCCGCTGTTATCAGACTGCTGAGTGGACCCCTCTAATTTTAAATTTAATGTTGATCTTGCTTTTGTGCACCTCCTGTGCAGCGTAACCTTGTGTGTGTGTGTCT